CACAGATTGTGTCGAAACTATAAATTCCTTCAACCACATTATCATTTTAAACTAAACCAACGAATAACAGAGATGCACATTTTCTTGCGCATTGTATGAGGAAAAACATTTCTTTGAACTCGATAACCAACCAAAGAGCCGCTTTAGATTTGTGGAGGGCATCGCCTGAATGCATTTTCTTAGTCATTTGGTATAAAATAAAAAAGCATAACACTGTTTATATAAGCCGTTCACAAAAGTGTTGATGCACACACGCGCGAGTCCACCTGGTCTCGATTTCCTCGATCGTTCCAGCAGCCTGCGCTAGGTCCGTGCGTGATTTAATGCCTGTTGCCGAAATGAAGGCATGTTCATGTACTCCCCGCATTGCTGAAGTCCCTTATTAAACTCTCCACCTGGCGGACATTTGCGTGTGTACCGACTCTTGCAAAACATACAGTAATAGGCCACTTCCGAGTTCCAAAAGCCTTCACTTTCAAAATGAGGCCAAGTGCATCACTTTTCTTGTGAAAATGAGTGTTATTGGCATAAATCATTTCCATATCAAAGGATGAGCACTTAAGCTCGTTTTTATACGGAGGTAACTCGGAAATTAAATGACCTATTGCGAACTACAAACCTTGAATTACCTTTATTAAAAATGCCTACAAAATTTCCTATGACATTATGCAATATACGTAGCTAAGAAATATTGTATAGTAATGAACAAGTTTCAAAATGTCGAAGCTTTAACTCTTAGGCTCAGTGGGGGTGCAAGATTCCATTTTGTTCTTTGCTTTTTTCCATTCTAATTTTTGTCAGACAGGAACTGAGCCTGAAAGCTGAAGCAAAAGACACTGCAAATTCCAACTATAAAATGGAACCAAAATTTATCATAGTGCTGGTTGTACATCACAACCGGCTGTGAGGCTTACTGGTTGACTATTTACATCACGTATTTATTCGAATAAGCGCCCAACTTCGAATTAGCGCCCGCCTCGAATAAGCGCCCATCCTAAAGGCAGAAAAAGTTATTAAGTGCCCAACCTCGAATAAGCGCCCACCACCTAACATCCATCCAGCAAGCTGTATCTGCTTCTCGGGCACCTAACCCATTTACCGGCTTTACGATGTCGGACATCCAGGAGGCAGCACCAGAGAATTCACTTACTGACTTCCTTAAAGACGGAGTTTTCTTCAGAGTAGTTTACAGAAACCTTGCTTTGATGTTGTTTTGATGCGAAATAAACATTACTACAGTTGCTGAAAATGGTGAAAATTTAATAAACGCCCACTCTCAAGGTCCAAAAATTTAATAAGCGCTCAGGGCGGTTAATCGAATAAATACGGTACACCTTTTTTATATCTGGGTCAAGATGACGAGATTGAATGGGGACCCTCCATGTAAGAACGCCTAATTTTGAGCTGAGACTGAGCCAAGACTGAACTTGTTTATTGTTTATTGTTTTGTTTGCCATAAATTGTACAAATCAAATAAAATCTAATAATTTAAGCTCATGATTTTTGAGGCAATTTGAGCCTCAAAACGTTCTTAGATGTTTTTAAATTACATTTTGAAAACATTGTATGGACGACTTTTAATTTTCTCGTGTTTTGAGAGGCCAATAGTGACCTCAGGAGAGGTAACAGTGCACACCATGTTCAGCCAAACATGTACAGCAGTCTTTATAGCAATTTTTCTATATTCCTCACGTTGAAATTGGTGGAATCGACAATGTTCTAGACTGAACTTCAGCCTTGGCTTTGCTCTGCTATAAGGATATTCTTAAAAAGGTTTCTATAAAACAGGAGTAAGCGTGGCTTAGCACCAGGACGCCGAGGACTGATCAGGAATGTAATTAGTTTAGCCAGGAATTAACACAGGACCAGTTCATGAGCTTTGGCCCTGCTTTTTAGTTCTCTTTTCTATATCAAGCGCACAAATTTCTCTCACTTTTTCGTTGGCAGAAGTACCTAGGATTCTTCTCTTAAATAAGCGCGCTGCAGAATAAAACGCCCGAGGAATAAAGCATGCTGTACATTCTCTAACGTCCGGTAAATCTATCCACGCTGCCTCGTTAAGCCTTAAGACTTAAGGGTCCTATCACTAGAAGTGATATACAATTAAGCTGTTTACAGTTGCTTTTTCTATCCCTGGTTTTTTCTTGTTCGAACACCGTGTTCTCACGTCAACTTAAATATGACCCGAATTTTCATATTTCAGTTAAACGCGATGTGACATTAAAAATGCGGTCTAACGAAATTTACTTTTCTGGTAAAACCATCGGCTAACAAAAGAGAATTAAACTAATGAGTGTTATCAGTCAACTAACACAGGGGCGGATCCAGGATTTTTTTTAGGAGGGGGTGCACTCGTCTCTTGCTCTACTTCAACAACAATAAACCACATAGTTTTTTGTTTTGTTTCGTTTTTTTTTTGCAGAATACCAGTTGTATTAAGCCTGGTTTCCATATGATCGTCCGGATGGTCCCCATCGTCCCAGTCGTTTCAAAATATTTCGAGACGATCCGGACGACTGGGGCGATTGGTAGTTTCCATATGATCGTCTCGATCGCCTCAAAGGCCAGAGAAGCGGGGTCGTCAGCGATGTCTCTGGGTCAGACAAAAGAATTTTTGCGCGTGTTTTGCAAACAAGCCACATAAATGGATGATTTTTATTCGTAAAGCGAACCTCGTATTATATGTGCTTTTTCTCTTGATTATGCGGCATTGAGAAGCTAGAAGAGTTCCCCGAAGACATAGTACCTCTTCTAAAACTTGATGTCACGGACTTTCTCTAAGTTCAAATAACCCACATACTCGCTGCGAACATTTGTGTATTATTTTTTCGGCTTCAGCGCCATCCAGGCCGAATTTATTCTCGATTACTGGAATAAAAGTGATGACTTCTGGGATAGCCTTCGATCGTCCCGATCGTCTCAGTCGTCTGAGAGCGTTTCCATATGATCGCTTCAAAATTTACATGATCGTCCCGATCGTCCGGATAGAACTCAACTCTATCCAAGCGATCGAGGTCGTCTCAGTCGTCCGGGTCGTTTGCGATCGTCTGGGTAGCGTTTCCATATGATCGTCCCGATCGTCTGAACATTTTTTGAGACGACTGGGACGATCGGGACGATCTGGACGATCATATGGAAACCAGGCTTAAGAAAACCGCAGTTCATCTCAGGGGGGGGGGGGTGCGCCTCCCCTGCACCCTCCCCCTATATCCGCCCCTGTAACATGCCGTAAAGCTGGACAGGTATTTCATTATAAAGCTGGGAAAACAGCTAATGTTTCGCGGGGCCATTGATGGTTTCCTCGCGTATTTTATGGTGTTCTTACTGACCTTACTTAAGGTAAGTGGTTGTTTACCTCTAGGAAAACCAAAGTAAACCCAGTGGCGGATCCAGAGGGAGGGAACTTAATGACTTAAAAATTAACGAAAATCTGGACAAAAGTATTTCATCACTTCCTTCAAGAGACGAATGCTTCAAAGCTGGGCACGGCACGATTAGAATATCACGTGTCATGACAGCAAGGTTCTTCGCAGTAGAAAGGAATGTGTAACGGTTTGGAATGGTGTACTAACGAAGTAAGTTATTGGCTTCACCAGTGTACACAAGTTGCATATCCGTTATTAAAATTTTCTGGATCCGCCCCTGAAATCAATCATAGAGTGGTGAGTGCATCCTTTCCCACTTTACACTCGTTGCGCGCGTTCAGAAAAAATTGTAAGTGTTTGATGTGTTCCTCCTTGTAGCTTTTTGAGTTCTTTGGGCCCCGCCGTGATAACATAACAGATACAAGAGAGAACTGAATGAAAAATGCTGACATTTTTAAAATCCCTTATATATTTGCGAGTGATATAACTCAGGGGCACTTAACGACTGTTTTATGTAAGATATCTGTTCGGAGAAGCAAATATTGGCAAGAAGTTTCTATTTCTTGATGACGGCTAAAAATTTCTAGATGACCGTTCCATTCATGTACAATTTTCGAAGCTTATCTCATTAATTCCTTTCGATTTTCTGAAGTTCAAGTTTCACATTTTACTCCCCAAGTCAGGAAATTTTTCATAGAAAAAAGGAAACCTAACATTTTCGGAGTCAAAAATGTGATAGAGAGAGGAATAAGAAAATGTCTCAACTTCGTAATACGTCAAATTTCATCCAAAATTTTCGGGAAAATAATACTCAAGCCCTTCGTGTAATTTCGAAAAGATTCAAGTTTCCCTAGGATGACCGAACAGATACAAATTTCACAGCGCCGCTTAAAATGCTTCTAAACGGTACTCTGGATAGCCTAAAAGTGTTTGTAATGTATTTAGGAGGAAAATCGTTGGGTGCCCCTGATAACTGTCTACCGAAAGGCGAACCATTATCAAGGTATATGAAAGATACTGGAATGTTCGATACGATATCAATAGTGTCATTCTCAAGTATCGACACTTTTCAGGCAAATCTGGTTTGGTATCGGTACATCTTTCAAAATTACGTTTACCTTTTATTTTATAGCTGGTGAATCAGAGCTGCTAATAAAAAAAAAAACACTCTTTCTCATTGCTTCAATGAGGCTTTTCTATCACCGTTATCTTATAATAGTAAGCTGCAGCTCTGTTTCTATTGGCCTGTTATCTATGCTGGTGCTACGGTTAATGTTACCTACCCACAGAGACCCTAAAGTGGGAGAACGCTTGGTCCCGAGAGGACGGATAAGGGCGCGAGTGATGATGGGAAGTAAAGAAGAGGGAAAACTGGATCGAAGGATGCGGAGGAGCTCAAATTGCGTTACATTAAAGTCATATCGTCATAAACAAACAAACAACAACAATGAAAAGCACAAAGTCAAAAGCTCAGGATACAGTTCTTTATGTGGTTGTTTCATAGAATACTTCGATATCTTTTGGCGTGAATTCGTTGCTTCTAGCATAGAATGTACAGTTAGAACCAGATAAAGAATACCCTGGGGGGAGGGGGTAGCTCCTGCCACAATCAGTATAAGAATGCTGGTTACTAGCAGCGTTGTTTGATATGACAATATCACCCGGGCCAAATATTGGTCCTGAAAAATGACACCTGTATACAGCTCGATATCGATGGTACATATCTGACTTGACTGGCAGCTTAACAGGATTGTACACGGCGTGTCCAGAACCATTGTTATTGGTTAATGAGTAGATAAAGGCTTTACTTGAAGATCCAATCCCACATCTATCTGTGAAATAACGACGACATTTTACAATTCTTACTGACCTTACTGAAGGCGCTCATAAAAAATCAGCTTCTAGGAATATTCCATAATCCGGGCTTCAGTTTAAAATAGTGAGTGCAAGTCCGGCTTGACATACAAACATTCCTAGACAAGCCATGCATTACTGTAATTTTAAAATTTGCTGTATTTGTATAAATTTTTCGATATTGCTAAAACAGTGTGATGAGCCACACATCCATTTTTTCTCTTGCTGAGTATAGTAATGACACTGTAGTGACTTTGAAATTAGTGGGGGAGGAGAAAATTATTCTAGAAAATTAGGCAGTTTTAGAAGTGTAACAAACTTCCATGATGAGCAGAAAGGGAGTTCTCCCTAAACTGGAATCCCTCAGTGTTAGTAGGAAAGAGCAGGGTTTTTGTCCTGAAAAGAGATTTATGCAAACTAGAATCGTAACTGAATCCAGATCTATCGAATTATGACAGAGCCTGAAACCTACTTGAAGTGCATAAAATACAAATGACGGACGGTATCACACATACATCTAATACATTTTTTTTTTCAACCTCCGCATGGCTGAACCACTTGATTCCTTGTTTCATTTAGCTTTTAAAGGTAATTTTGGTCATAAATATTCATGGATGTGACTACAATATTAGCTTTTTACAATGGAAAGGTTTTCCTTTTTCTCCTTCTGACTACCGTGACCCGGGGGTAGTTCTTAAGCGACACTTTGCTTCATTAAAAAGAGTCCGTAGTTCATAGCTAGAGAACTTTAAAGATATTTCAGTAAAATTAGGCTAGGACCAGAGCCGTCCTCTCCTGTGGAGTGGCCCCTTAATGGGTTTTGTAAGGAGAGGGCGAAACCAAATTTTGCAAGATTTTGTTTATTGATGTTGTGATTTAAACCTGAAATCAACGATAAAAAAGTAACTTGACGTTTCGATGGCTTCCTGTCATCATTATCAAAAGATAAGAAATTAACATGATTCGTGGAAGTAAATATTGTCTTTGATAATGATGACATGAAGACAAGCTTCTTTTTTATCAATGACTTTTGTTTTAAAATGTATTTCAAAATCGATTCTTATAAGATTTAAACCTGACCGGGATAATTTAATTAAAATTGTGAATTAGAGAAAAACGAACTTCTGGTAGTTGTATCATGAAAATGCCCAATTCTGATTTCTGAGGAATTACTTTCTCGCCTTGATTGTACGGAAACAGAAAAACATCAGGCCAAAAGCCGCTGTACTACTTTATCGTTCTTCATTGTTAGCCAGCAAAATATACAATTCCTGATTCTCCTAGTACCTGACTCATTCAGTGGGGGGGGTTTCCAGGTTACGTCACTGTATCCACCAAATATACAACTGCCGACTTGAATGATGGTTACAGTGGGTCCCTTGTCATCACAGTTGCCGTGGAACGTAGACGCCCCCCAGCCGTCCTCTTTAGCGTGCCAACACCTCACAAACCTACTACGGACTGAACTATTGATCACTGGCTCCAAAAACGACGCTAAATTCTCCAAGTACCTACTGCCGTTGCCAAGAATGGTTGATGCATTAAAACCACCTTAAAAAAGAAATCTTTGGTTCATATCTTTGGTATGATCGCGCGCGGAAAAGTGCATCGATCCAGCAAATCATGGCACTCAGCGTAGCTGTGCACGGATAGTCATGCTAAAGGTATATGAGACTCTCTATGGGCGAAGTCGCGACAATCGCTGGATGAAACGACAATCTTAGAGATTAAGCCACCGTCCACATGTATCCGGATATTTTTGAATCCGCAACTTTTTCTTTGCGGATCCGGCTTCCGTTCACACGGATTCGGTGAATCCGGCAGACGAATCCGCAACTTTCTGAATCCGCTCTCCAGGGAGGAAATTTTTAAATACGTTATAACTCCGGAATCGTGTGGACGCTCAATCTGAGGTGTTACACGTCGCCACCCCCTAAGCCGTGGGGGGCGCGGAGGAGAAAGACCCGACGGGTAAGGGGGTGGAGATGTATGCCATTTCAGACTAGTGGGCGCTAAATCCGGATATTTTCTTATACAGTAACGTTTTGCCCAGTTCGTTACTGTGAATATTCAAGACGGTGCCCAGCGCAATATTATCGCTTCTTTACTTCTGGCATTTCAGTTTCAAGTCTTTTTTAGTTTAACGTGTGTGCAGTTAAACCTACAATCAGGGACAAAAGTAGTTGACGCACTTGTCTAAAACGGGTGCTTTTATCAACAATTTCATACATTTATTATTTCATTATATTTAAACGCCGTAAATCCCCTCACCCCCGAATCAATGTTGTCTGTAGATAAAGAAAGACTTGAGGGTCTAAAACACAACATTGGGTTTCGGGAAACGGGTGGGGGTACACAGGGGAAGGGGATAGGTATGTTCAATGTTCAAAAGAGGCCATTTTATAGAAGTGTCTCTACACGTTTGTCCCTCATTGTAGCTATGACTACTGTACACTTCAATTATCCCAAACGGCGGTTTGACATTTTGAAGCTTCATTCCATGTAGGACGGACGGATTTGACGCCGTAAACAAGTTAAACGAGTGAAATATAGTGCTTGATGGGACAATTTTATTAGTGAAACAGACTAGCGATAAAATTTTCGCGTGAGCCGAAGATCGCTTTATTACAAATTAGCTGACGAACTGAGAGTGAATCCGGATACGTGTGGACGGGCAAATTCGATTTGAATACGGACACGTGTGGACGTGAAAATTCTTGAATCCACAAAGAAAAATTTGCGGATTCAAAAATATCCTAGCCTGCGCGCACTATATGCGATACGTGGGCCGGCTGCACCGCAGGCTAAAATATCCGGATACGTCTGGACGGGGGCTAAAGGTACGATCGCACTGCCATTTCGATAACGTTTGAGAACGTCACTCATGCGACAATGGCAAGGAAATTTGCCAAACAATGGCTGCACGTTCAGGTTTTTCTTCTGTTTATCAGTGAAACCTGTTGCATGTTTTTTTTTATTTTCACGTTACCTTCGCCGTCATCGTGGTTGCTAGAGCTCCCCAGAAGGACTAGTAGCGTTACCACGCAGAACAACTATTAATATGCGACGATTTCGTTGAAAAGCTGACGATTTGATGGGAAATTAAAGGGTGACGAAAACGACGTCCGCAGTTACTCGCCAATAGAGAGGCTCGTATATGAAAACAGTTAAATTTATTACCATGAATGCTTGCTACAATTCTTACTAAATGCTGCGGTTCATTTGCCTACAAGAATCCTCCTAGTGAACTTGAGCTCTGCGTTTAGGTTCCCCATCTCTTTTGCATACATGTATATGCTGTCACTAATCCAAAACTGTTCTACAGGTAGAAAGCCTGTAATCTTTCCCGGGTATATTACGAACCAACAGTTGCTCTAAGCCTCTATTTCCAAGCGAGGCTAAGTGCGATATGAAAATGATTTTTTATTCTCATGCAAATAAAAGTCATTTTCACAAGAAAGATTTTGCAATCAACCTCATTTTGAAAGTGATAATTCGGAGATGACCTATTTTTGTGAAAGGTTTGAACCCAGGGAATGACCCATTTTTATAAAAACCAGCTCCCAGTTGGCTTGCTTGCTCAATTGGTTTATAGAGACGTCAAATGTTTGAATCCCGTACAAGCCTGAATTTTTTTTCAGTCCTTTCTTTTCGCGACTGCATAAGTAATTATAATAATTTAATTACCAAGAGTAAGGTTGGTTTCCACTGTCGCGTAATTTTCAAGTGCTTGTATACGCACGTAAATTTCACACGCGTAAATAAAATAATGACAATTAAGGTATGAAGTGTTGCACTTAAACGTGAAGTTGGGCGAGGTTCAACTTTTACTTTAACGCTCGATCCTTCATATATTGCCTCTCTTTTATCTGCGAATGTAAATTTTACTTCTCGTACGCACGTAAAAATTACGCGCTAGTGGAAATCCACCTACCCTGCGAGCAGAGTCTCCTTCGATCTTCCTAGATAACTAGGAAGATCAAAGGAGACTCTGCTCGCAGGGTAAAATCCACCCTATGAAGGGCCTAAAGTAGTTGCTGCCTTCTCTAAAAGTCAATAGGATCTAAGACGCAGTACCCACTAAGCCATCAACCCCCCATTCCCCTCCAACCTTTACTGGGATCATTTTATATTTCTTGGCTTAATACACTTAACTTACGTGTATTTAATATGCACTTTTTTCCATCTCCATAATATGGTGGGTTGCAAACACAGCTATAGGATCGAGGGATGTTCGTACAGTTTGCATGAGCGTCGCAGTCATGTAAGTTGTCAGCACATTCATCTACATC